TTCCCTACAGTAAATTATTGTAACATCTAGCACAACTTGTAAAAAGAGGTGGTTTTTTTTTAATTTTTGTCTATACAGAAATGTCTGGTTGACACAAAATCTTTGTGTTTGACCCGAGTCAAACGTTATAGCGCACGTTCAAATGTGAATATGGGACAGTCCCTCAGCTAAAGGGCACGAAAATGCTGAGAGTCTTAAAGCATGAGGGTAGATTTAGACCAGATCTAAGGAAGAAATTTTTCACACTGAGGGTGGTGAAACCCTGGCCCAGGTTGCCCAGAGAGGTGGTCAATGCCCCATCCCTGGAAACATCCCAGGTCAGGCGGGACAAGGCTTTGAGCAACCTGCTCGAGTTGAAGACGTCCCTGCTCACTGCAGGGCGGTTGGACTAGATGGCCTTGAAAGATCCTTTCCAACCCAAACTGTTCCTATGACTCTATGATTCTCTGATTCTGTGTGCAAAGGCGTTTTTCTGGATTAGAGACAAAATTTCGGGGGTTAAGGATTCTTAGAAGGTGATATGCCTCTGCTGAAAATTAAATGAATTTAAATTAAATACAGTTAAATTAATTCTGAGGAGGGAAAACCTTGACTTGTTTCACCATCTATGTGGGTAGGGAAGAACCTGAAACACAGAAAGTTATAGAAAGAAGGGAAAGCGATGCACCAATACACATACTTTGAAAGGGATTACAAGCAAGCTATTCCAGTCTCCTAGAAAAAGGGTTAACAGCCACCAAAACCCCATCCACCTTAGTAAGCACAGGACTTAGCACGTACATGGTGTTTTGCTGTGTTGAAAGCATTGTGCAGACATTATCTAATTAATTTTCATGACACCCCTGTGAGACACCTGGGCTGGTATTGTTATCCCCATGTTGCTGATAGAGAAGCACATCTGCACATGTCTCTACTGAGCTCTAGATCAGATTAGACGACAGTATTATGTACCTCCACAACTCATTTCTCTGTCCCAGACTAGTGCTATATGGGAAGTGCCCACTGCGTGTAATTTAAGGTTGCTTGTTCAGTGGCGGCCCTTCCCTAGAGTGCGATGAGCCATAAACAATTTCTACATTCAGAAAGATCTTATTTCCTCATTGTGCACAAAGTATTGCTGCTGACAGGACTGAGGAAGGAGAATTCCATCTCCGTGTTGGCCAACTCAATACCCTTGTATGCAACAAACAGCGCCCCGTCTATCAGCACTACGACTGTGATGCTCATTACTTCTGCAGAACAGATGATCCTCTGCCAGAGCTGACCGATGCAGAGTGATCCCGCCTTCAGTAGGATCCCCCTCCCCATGCCAAGGGTTTCACACATGTTTTCCAGTCACTGCAGCTCACAACCCGACACACGAATTTAAACTGCCATTGATTTCACTTTTCACTGATCAATAAGATTGTGGGTGAGACAGTGGAAGAGCAAGTGGACAGTATATCCTAGCGCCCAGGTGGTCTTCTCCCGCAGAGAAACGAGGTGAAGAGAACAGCCGTGTGCAATTGTCTGGTAAATGCCCAACATGAACCACCCAGGAGCGTGAACCACAGACCTTCCTCTGTTCCGGCAGCAGCCCCCGGGCAGCCTCGCACACCGTGGCTCCCCGAGCGGAGCAGTACCTTGCTATCGACCTCACGGCACTGTCAGTTGAGTAAGTCACCAATTAACATTAGCGAGAATAGCTGAACATGGACGTTGAGTGAGGATGTCAATGATGAATGACGTCTTGTCGAATCCTCCCTAGTTACACCTACCCACGAAGGCCAACCGTCACTTTGCTCCCCTCCGTTTTTCAGAGGGTGAGGCTGCAACACCAGTTCCTCCCGTGCCAGGGCTCCAGTGACGGGGAAGTTGACTCATTGAGGAAAAAAGCGAGCGCCGTTGCCAAGCCATTCTCAGAAGTACATACTGCGAACCTCGACTGCCCATTGCAAAACTCCCACAAAATCTGAAAACCTTTTTGCACTAAAGTTGGAAAAATAAAATAATAGCAGACCTATTTCATTTAATATCTTCTGTGAATCAATGTGCTACACGTCAATGCAGCACTGAATTCAGCCTTGAATGGCTTCAGAGGGAAGGATGAGCCTAAGAAAACCTTTGCGATTTGCACAAAGGGAAATCTGGAGGAACGTCACCGCAGTAAGTGGCATCGCTTTTCATTTCCATCAATGTAAAAGAGAAAAAGAATCTAGTTTCTTGAGTTCATATCAGGACACCAGATGAGCAAGCCTGGGCTTAAAAGTCCTACAGAACTGAAACGCCACAGACAAAGGCATTAAGAAACACTTATTGTGATGTTCTTCTTTCTGTTTACAAGTCCCCTTGTGGTCTTCTTAAATGGCCAGGGAACATTTTTAGCCACCCCCTCCAGGCTCCAGATTATGCCTCGGTTAGCAGATCATCTGGGCAGCTCTCTCTGTCTGTAACTCTATATGAATGACTTCAGTGACAAACAATACAACCATTCACTTTTTGTAAAAAAACAACCACTGCCACCAAATGTTTCCAATTTAAATATTTCTGGTTCTCTAGCTACTGGTTCCAATTTGGTATCAGCTACTGTCAGCCGTAAATCCCAATGAATTTTGAAGTCACGATCCTGAATTGAGTTCTGCAAATGCAGAAGGAGAAATGAGTATCTCCAAGTAGGAAGTTTAGACAAAGAACCCATCACATCCATATTGCAGAATTGTGGGTTACAGAAGCTCTTGCATGGGTACTGTCATTTAACAGTGGTTAATCATCACATCTGTCAGAAACTATGCATTCCTTGGGAAAGAAACAATATAGGATATCTGAGAATGAAATCACTTCTACTTTAACTGACATTGATTTCTGGCATAGGACAGCTTATCCCATTTTCTTGCAATCAAAATTGGGTGACTTCATCAAAAGTGCCTATTTCAAATCATCCCTTGTCTATCCTAACTCCCCAAATGCACCTGGGACTTGCTTGCCAGAGTATGAGCTGGTCTGGACAAAAGCTACGCAAGGGACCCAAGGACCACTCTAATGATTTACTGATATATATGTAACAAACAAGTGTCGGTGCCTGAGATATTCCCTGACAGTGTTTATTTTACTGGGTCTACTTCAGGATTCACCTGCTCCTGTTCTTGCCCTGGTAAAGCAACATTTTCACGTCAGGGTGAGTGCAAGGAGCAGTGGATTTCTTGCGCCCATTCTGCTGCCTGTAGCATGTTAAAAATATAGATCAAGGCAAACCGTTTCAATGATGTAAAAAGCCATGAACTGAGTTAGCTTCACATGTAGGCTGAAGTTCTGAGCCAGTTCTTACTTTATTCAAATCCATTCTGCCCATCCCTAATCTAAATGAGCTCAGTCATTAGCCTCTAAATCTTCATTTCTCTGTGCCAATATTGGCCCCAGTTCAGCAAGGCACTTAAATATGTGCTTAACTTCAAAAGCATGGTTAAGTTCCACTGATAGATTTGACTACAGGGGGATGTAAGCAAATAGCTAAGGGCTTTGCTAAATTGGGGTCTTACCGACACAATCCTAGAAACATTTATATTTTAACATGTTTATAGAGAATTATAACAATTAAGTGGAACTCTTCCTTCCTCACATAAAAACAATCCAGGACTTCCTCTTTTGAAAAGCTCACAGCAGCCAAACTTTCTTTTCCTAACCTTGGGGTCAAGCACTTTTCCAAGAACTCATCTTGACATAGTGCCCTAATTTTTTGTTTCCTTCCTGACAGCTCTGACACATATATGTGCATAGGTGAGCATAAAAACTCATGGTATGCACTTGTTATGAGAAGAGCCACACCATTATCTATTGCACATAGGAAAAACTTCCTTTTTCACAGTCCAGGCCAGCCTGGGCTGCAGATCTGAAGCATTCTTTGGTTTTGTTCTACACCATCATACATACAACTCACACAGAGGTAACCTTCTGAGGGTATTTCTCACATTTATCCTTACAGTGCGTTCGTCTTCTCCTCTAGTAGAGATTCCCCTAAAGGCAAGAGCAGGTTCTCTCTCTCTAATCCAAACGTATATGCAGCGTTTTGAAAAGCAAAGGTCGCTAGCCACGTTCCTTGTTGAAGAAATAAAAAAAGTATGAACTGCAAAGATGGCAATGAATTTGTCACCTTCAGTCTTCAGCTAAAACACATTGATCTCCTCGTGCTAACACAAAAACTCAAAGAACATCTACCCAAATCCTTGGGGCTGGATGGGGACTGGTGAGCCTGGGCTGACTGTGCCACTGGAAGAAGGATCAAGCCCTTTCCTTTTAGGTGTTTGTCTTCAGATCTGGTCCATGAGAGTG